GATTTTTTATATTTAAAATGAGATGTTTATTCTGTATTTGATTGTGTTTATCTGCAGTTAGTTACACGAATTCAGATATGGGATGAAATCGGATAGAGATGAAATCGTTTAGGGATTTAAGAGTTTTTAAGAGTTTAAGAGTTTTAAGAGTTTTTAAAAGTTTTAGCCAAATGCTTTATAATATAGTATAGATAGTATAAATAAACTTTATTAAGAATAGATAAGTCAATGATGTAAAACGGAAAAAATGGAGATTATGTTCAAACTTCTTGCTTTCACAAATTTTTGTCAAACTTCATTTAAAATTCTTTAATTTTTTAGATTATAATAAAATAAATAATTTTTTCTTACATTCCTTAGAGACATGTTTTGTATAAGTAGCTAAGATTGTCGGTAATCAATTTTTTGTCAAATAAAAAATAAATTTATATAACTAAAAGACAATGGTAGAAGACAACTAATAGGACAGGTGAATTCGATCGACAAACTTCTTGACCGTAGCTCAGAGGTGGCTGGGACTTCCATGTGTAAAAAAGCGTTTATCAGAGTGGTGTACGGGTTCTTCTGGATTATTTGAAACTTGCGCAACCATAAAATTTTCCTAGCTCCCTCTCAGAATTCGGCTACTTTTCTCGCAGGCCAACTTCAGACGTATTCATTTTTCTGGTTTAAAAATAGGGTGCCAAAAGATGTTTTGGTGAATAGTTGAATAGAGTGGTGTAATTCTCCCTTGTCTTGTTTTTTACCTGTACTCTTTTTTTGCTAGCGTCTTGCTAGTCTTTTTACGATATATCGGCTTTTTTTTTTCTGGTAAAAAAAAAAAAAGAAGACAACTAATATTTTAAAACCCAGTCCAATACTTATACGAACAGGAACACAAATTATATGTATATATTAATAGTATCCCACGTGAAATCAGCTTTCCGCACACAGACAGATTGATTGTTTTCTTTGGAATTATTTTTCATTTCCGATTTGGATTACATATATTTCTTGATAAAACCAGATTTCATCAAATGAAACACAACATTTCTTAAATTGTTATGAGAAAAGATTAAAAGATATAGTAATTTTTAAGCTTTTTGCATTTAACCATAACAAGTACCCATCTCGACACAATGGTGGTGACTGATTGGTTTGAGCTTGACTCCAAAAACCAAAAATACCAGGAGGTCTCAGGTTCAAATCCAAGAAAAAATAAAAATCCTCTTATGGCCATGTAGATTCAAATGCGATGACTCCAGACTATCTGCAAAGCAGGTGGTCGTCCTGAAATTAGTCGGCTCGCATAGCAGGTTGGATATCCAGGTTAATAAAAAAAAACAAGTACCCATCTCTGCTTCTGTTCATCTCCACACATTTTTCAAACTTTTTTTGTGAATTAAAAATCTTCAAAGAAAAATTATGTTTACGTTCGTTACTTATATCATTAAAATATTTCATACATTTAATAAAGTATTTAAATAAAATCTTTCAAAGATTTAATAAAAATATTAAAATCTTTAAAACATTTAATTTCAAAGACTAACCATGGTAAGGGATATCAACCAGACTGGAAGTCTCAGTCCTTGATCATTCTTTTTCAGGACCGGTCCTTATGATTCATTGAACAATGCACACAATTAGACCAACTGGCATGTTTATATGGACTTCATGTCTGCGATAACATGATGTTAGAGAGGTTCAATCGAAATAACCAACTTCTTTGACTCTTCAAAAACATCTGATGTCTGAAACCTTGCCATCCTGATATGATTCATTGAACAATGCACACATTTGGAATTGAACTTACTATCTCCATCATTATCCAATCCAAACCAACCTTGTCATTTTATTTAAAACACGATTTCATCCAAAAAATTCACTTGCCAATTCCTTCTCTTGATTACTATCCGCTTCACACATGCTATTATCTATCCATGGAAAAGCTTCTTGCAAAAAGAAACAAACCTGATGAACGTAATTATTCAGACCACAACTTCATGAATGCAGCAACGGCTGTCTGGATAAATGACACAATCGGATTAGTTTCTTGGATATGAGATTTCTTTGATTCTGCTGCTGCTTCCCATGATTCACTGCTTAAGTTTAGCACAAGAAGTCAATAATATGAAATACCCAAAACACAGATTAAATCCTGAATACAACCACTAAATTTTTTGTTATCTTGCAACATAATCGCTATTTGAATGTCGATATGCATATATGTATACACTTACAGATTGATTGTCTTTAAAGTTGCACTGTCCGTTTGGTTTTGGGCACTACCACAGAACTGGATGTCTGATTTGTTCTTATTTGTGGTTGCCGCTTCAAAAGTCGACTGTTGAAGAGAACTGCTGTTGTTGCCATCAAGATTCTGAGACTGAATGCCATTAGGAATACTTGAGTCCTGTCAAAGAGGTGCTTCTCACATTAACAAAATATGATGTTTGATTGAGACAACGGATGCCATTAGCAGTTTGTTCCAAACATTTAACCATAGACGATCAGAGTGAACAAGAACATGTGAAATTGCATGATCATATTGCACAAAGTAGAAATATACTTCCCCCATCACACGAAAATTGCAATGGTTGACTTGCAATGTAATATAAAGAATATATTTGACAATTTGTCAAATGTGTAAAATACAATTTAATGGAGACAGAATAAAGGAATTTTTTTACCCAAAATGTTTATTTGCAATGATGATAATTTAAAATGAAAACTTGCCATAGAAGAAAATGATGCAGCTTTTATGGAACATCCCAAAAGCAAAAAGTGTTGCAATCTTCATGGAACAAAAGATGCATCATATTAGGCCGACCCGGGTTACCGGTAGAGCCCAGCCTTCAAATAGGTCATGGGTTCAAACTTCACCAAAACGGTGTTTGAGTATTTGCCGTATATAAATATTATATACTTCAAAAAAAGGTGCATGATATCATTTGCGTATGACAAGCCCCCTAACAAAACATGAACTACCAATATCAGTATTTGAGCATACAGAACACTTTGGTGATAGATATCAAGTGAAAATCACAAATAATCTTCTACTAGAGTTCCTATTTATAAAGAAAATCCAGTGGGAAACATCATTTTTAAGCATCACAGATAATGCAAAAGTTCGAAAACTCACTTTGTCATTTTCAGCAGGAGATGTAACGTCTGTGATGTTGACATCAAGCACAATATTTTCATCAGGAGACGAGTGGTTATGGGTTCTCAGAATCGATGTCGGTTTAGACTCAGGCAGTGGAAGTTCTTCCTCCAATTTTGTATCCACCACTTCAGTTAAGTCATCAAACATGTGTATTTCATCTCGAACAAAACCTTCATCTTTTCCAGTTTTCATTTCCAAATCACCATCCAAGACTTCTTTCTCACTTATGTCTTCATCGGGGTTATAAACAGTGCTAGAAACAGGTCTCAATGGAAAAGTCTCTACCACCACATCCTCTGCCAGAGGACGTATTTGAGCTTCATACCCTTCTACTTTTATTTCATCTTTCTGTACTTCCAAAGCCTGTTCCATTAGCAATTCTGTGTGCTTTGGTTCTTTAAATTCTTCGCTACTCAAAGTTGCATCAGATGTCTCTACCACGACAGCTTCCGGTATGTTACTTACTATATGTCTTGGTTCTTCAAATTCTTCATTTTTCACTGTTGTATTACTCCCATTAATGATATTGTCATTATCTACACTTCCTCTATGCAGTTCAGAAATCCTTCTTGAATTCAAAACCTTTTCACGTCTAAATTCATACTCATTAAGTAGTGTTTGGTTGTTTTTTGGCGGTAATACATGTATGTTAGGATCAAATGAAATTGAACCCAGTGGATAGTTTTCCAAGAAGCTATCTAAGTTCTCCATATTTTGCTCTCCTGGAGGCAACTTAGGAGGAGCGAGCACTCGGTTCTCCTGAATTAGCTCTCTAAAAATTTCACGCACCGTGTAATAGGACCCACCAACTTGCTTGTGTGTGAGATGCAGTGATGGGAAACTTCCATTATTTGACGCCTGATACCTGCAAGCAGCATACATGTAAAATCAGTTCACTTGGGACAAACCTTCTATAAGCTGAAAACTAACTACGTTTCTTCAGCAACATTACAGAAAATCAAATGGTTGAAAACATAACAATAAATCATGGCCCTAAAAATAGAACTGAATGGTCATTATACAGATATGATAGTAATTCTTGGCCTTATCAGTGTCTTGAAATCCAGGACTTCTTAAAGAATCTAAGAAAGAACCACGAAACATGGATCAGTTTATTTTCTAGCATTCAATATAACTAATACTTCACAAGATAACACTCAAATTGTTGTTTATAGTACAAGACACGGAAAGATTCAGCCGAAAAAGGGCCTAAGGCATGAGTCATATTACCAGAAGAACCAAAACTTTATTCATGAAGTTGAAGTTTCTTATACGTACAAAGTTACACCACCAAACTGGATGGTTCCTCCTTTCCAAGCTCCTGCATTACATACACTGATACCAACTTGTACACCGGTAATATCAGAGACCAAATTCAAAGGGGAGGGATTGGTTCTCATTAATTGAATGCTTAACAAGGTTGTTTAGGATTCATTTAGGATTCTAATAAACCAACACTTGCAGTTTGGTTGTGGGTTGCACAATATGACTTAAACCATGATCATGTGGATTGCATAATATTCTACAGAAGTACTTAGCGGTTATAGAATCCATTCTTCTTGGCAAGTAAAACTACCACATCAGGTACAAATATGCATATAAAAGAATGTAGCATAGACAACATAGATTAATGTGGGGTGCCCTTTATCTAATTATCAATTACTGCTCAAACTTGCATAGGAGATTGAGGAGTAATAGCTATAATTATATTACACAATCCATGACGATAAATAGGGAGAATACGATCGAATTACCTCTTTATAAAAGTCTCTACCATTCCTTTCCTTTCCAGTTTTGAACGCCGCTTCGATTTTTTCCCTCCGGTAGAGTCATTGAGCTTTGCTAGGGCAAATGTTTTCCCAACACAACCTCCTTTAGTAACTTGCATTTGGGCGAAAGAAACACCAAGGATGACTGCTGCTCACAAGAGTCTACATCAAACGTGATCCAATTCAAGAAATTAACAACACAGATACACAATTCATGTACATTTTTTGGCTACAAAAACAAAGAAAGAAAAGGAAATACCTACGCGAATGAGATTATTTACTCGTGATTAGTAGACGTATAAGATTGAATAAGCCAAGAAACAAAGTGAATGAGTGACAATGGAAACTCCAAAAAACAAAACCATAACCAAGATCAGAATTATATCCACATTACCTGAACGATGAAGTTTGAAATTCCGACGAATTGAAAGAGTTTCAGGAGGGAGGAAGCATGGAAACCCTACCGGCGGGGAGACGAGTGTCTGAAGAGTGTTTGACTACGACGTCACTAGTATGGTTTTGTTCATTTTTCCTATCTTTTGAATTTGAATAATTGGACTCCTGTATATTGTTGTTGACACCCATAACTCTATTTTAATTGATATTCTCTCTTTTTTTTTTTGTGATTTTTGTCTTTTTAACGTTTTCATCTTTCGTTTTTTTTTATTATTTTAAAGAAAATTTTAATTAATACAAATTAATTTGATTTATATTTATTTATATTT